GCAGAAGGCATTAATCAATTTAAATGTATTCTCAGTTTTGCCTGAAATAAACAAACAGAAATGTTCCTTTAACAATGGAATTGTTTCCTCTTTCAGAATATTCATTTTTAACGTGCCTACATTTTCATCGAATACCATGCAAACTTGCTACTTTTCCATTAACCTAGTTTCCTAAGTCACAAACCTTTTTCTCATATTTTACTTCTGTTATATTTCCTCGCAAAAAAAAGGGCTCAAGAAGAATTTATAAGTACCAGTTACTTAATTCTCTTCCTAATTTAGGATTCTATGTCTTTTCCAAAAGATTTTATTGAAACCCAGTAATAATTTTGTCCTCTCTTCTCAGAATGCATCACCAGGAGATGACAGAGCTATCTCCAAAAAGGTAAAAAACATATATAAACACAAAATAAAGAAAAGCAAAGGAGGAAAAAAGGAAATGAATGACAAAAAAAATGAAGCTTGAAGCAACACAAAAAGCCATGTACCTGCTCAATCCAAAAAGCAAAGCTCAATGCAAAAAGCAGGAACCTGATAATCAGTCCAGCTACAAATATTCATTTAGTGGTTAAGAATTCAGGCTCTACATTATTTGCCCTTGTGCTTTTTGGACTCATAGGAACCTACAGGAAGCAGGGTTGTATGTACAGCCTAAACACATTAAGTGAACAAACAACATTAATTTGCTTTGGTATGCTGACACATGTAGGGCAGTCCATACTTACTTTATGAAGAGGTAGTTCTTGATGATCAAATTTAGACTTAGTCTGCAAGTTTAAAGTCATGCTTCTGCCTGCATGCATTGCTGAAATACCTCCATAGGGCAGCATGCCAAGGTTAACTGTATTGTGTTTGTAAGCAGCATTCTGAGTAGAGGAAATAATCATGTGACAGGGTGTGAACACATGCTCAACAAACTGATAAATTACATGAACATGTTTAAATTTATAACACTTAACTTTAAGCAGGCAAACAGTAACTTTTTTTTAAAAAACATGCACTTGATCAGACAGAAGCATACAGTAAACGGTGTTAGTTATGCACATAATGAGTACCATCCAAAACTACAGAAAAGACAAAAAGCAAAGAAGATACATTCTGTTTTACATCTGCTGCTAACTCAACGTCATAAATTCTATTTCATACACATCATGATAATGGTGGCTTTGGACAAGTATTATTCATCTGTGGTAGTCTATTCATTTAAAAATTTCAAAAGTGAAATCTTAAATTTTACCAGCTGCAGATCTCTGGTCTCTTTCACATTGTGAGATCATCACATATGGAAGACAAATATTAGTTTCTAACTCTGCCTTAAGGTAAGGCATTGCAATGTTAAAGCCAAAATCAGTCTCCTTTATTGCTCAGTCTGTAGGCTTAATTACAGCCACTCAGAAAAACAGCTGGTCAAAATGGCATTTGAGCTGACCATAGGCTAGACTGAATTTACTTGTTAAATCAGTTAAACCAATAAAATACATTTTATGTGGATCCAAATATTCTATTTTTTGTTTCTTAAAAATTATATTTTAGACTAAAGAAATTTCATAGCAATATTAAAGCAATTATAATTTATTGATTTATTAATGCTATTTATCTTATATGTCCAAATACCTATAGAACACTTTGGTGGTATTTGCATTTAAGTGACTGATAAATTTTTTCCTATAAAACTTTGTTTAAAAATTAAATGTAAAATTTTAGATACTCTGTCATCAAATTGTTTCCACCAGTACAATCTCCTCTTTGAATCTACAATGGAAACGTAATCATTGACAACATTTGGCCCCTTTAAGTAATTCTCTCACTTGGAAAAAAAAATCACAGAAGTTAACTTAGTACACTTTTGTTAAACCAAATACTACTGAACATTAAGAGCAGGCAGCTATTCTATTCTGAGGGAATTACTGTCAAAGTAATGATTTTTAGCATCAAAGATTATTATACTTCTGATGGTGTACTTGTCTTCCAATCATATTTGTTATGGATTCATCGTTATTTCATACAGAGATTTTCCATTGTCACCATGCCAAAACTGAAAAAGACACTGAACATCTCAATCTAGCACTTGGAAAATTCCTTGAAGTTTAAAATTCCTCCAGTCTGGTGTTCTCTAAGCTCCTATAGAACAGAAGCAGTCTCAGACATATGGGTTCATGTTTCACCTGTCACAGTGTGGCTCTGCAGTGAAAGCATAGGCCTTACAGTTAAACTAAAAGACGAAACAAGCATCTTTTATCTAGGGTAGTTATTGGAGCTGCTTCTTTAAGGTCAGCACTTAGATCTCTCGTCAACATTATGTTGAACTGTTAAGCTTATCCAATGTCCAAGTCTCTAGGCAATTGGCTTTTATGTGGAATGGACAGAGATCTTGTAATTTCCAGTGTAACTATTTGATTTTCAGGGTTCAAATGACTCAATTAAATTTCACTGGAAAGAAGCACATATTTCCATGGTGCAGTCTGCCTTTGGACAGAATGTTAAGTAGCACAGCTATGTCAAAACTAGTTTTACATAATGTCTGTGCTTCAGTGCTCTGAATTCGTCTTGTTGAGTAGCTGGGAAGTTTTATGAAAGATATAGCCTGAATAGCTCAGTTAACTCAGCTGAAAGACGGAAAGAAATGTGACTTGGAGAAAACAAAAGAAAGAGCTTCTAGGATCTGATAGCTCAAACCAATACTCTAAGGTAATTTAATTTGCTGGAATTAAGTGAGAAGCTATTGAATGTACATTGAAATTGCTTTGAAAAATAAAAGACACCTAGGGAACTGTATACAAACAGAGGTTATATGAAGACCAACTAAGAAAGGAAGTGTCGTCATAGCAATGAAAAAATACACGAGTTCGCTTTTTGTTATCTGGGATATGCAGGGCCTCCAAACTTTTGCTGATTGAAATCTCTCTCCCCTAACCCTATGTTCCTGCCTAAAATTCTTGCTTCATCTAGAAGAGTCACCTACTTTTCAGTAGCTGGGATCAAAGGAGAGAAACCATTGGTCTGGACACCTGTAACTAAGTGATGGTACCAAATGCTTAGAATTTTATCTTTTCTTTTTCATTCTTTGTTTTCACTCATTTGTCTGTTGCCTCAAATTGCTAGTCATTGTACATATGCTCCAAAAAGCTTCTTATAACCTTTCTTGACTAGTTCATCTTACCCTGTTACGTATGGTCGTGTCTACACGAGGCCAGAGTTCCCAAACTGTACTGTATTATTTGGCCCCAAATATTTTCGCCCTCCAAGTTATCTGTCTACATGGAGGGTATACTTGAGGTAAGGCATGGTGACAACTGACCAGGTGTCTCCCACTGACAGCCAGTCATGAGGCTTTGATGAGGCTCCCTTCAATGGGACTGAGCAAACCTATTTGAAACAGACATTCTGATGAAATATTTTGCAAGGCAGAACCAATTTCCACATTGAGACACCCACACCCACATTTATTAGTTAACTCTTTCCCTGAAAAAAATTGTTTTCTTGTCATGTAGACACGACCTACAAGCAATATAATTATTTGAAAAGAGTAAACCTGTAAACATAAAATTCAGTATTAAAGAAATACATAATAAATGCAGTGACCTGTGCTTTTAGCAGGACACCAAATAAAATAATAAAACTATTGAGTGAAACATTGCAATAGTATATTATTACCCAGATCCCCAATTTACACTGAACATTCAACTCTAGAAAATGAGAACAAAAAGCCCCATTTTCACAAAAAGGATTTTTAAGATTCTAATGTCAATGCAGAGCACATTAAGCCCTCTACACTAAAGCCACAAAGTACACTGAATGGCAATGGCCAATTAATAATAGTTCTAGAAAATGAAATACCAGGTTTCTCTCAGATTTGAACAAGCAACAAAATGTAATTCCAGGCTTCATATGATTTTTTTTTTTTACTGTCCCCAATCCCTGTATATTACATGCTTTTTTGTGACTTACTTTTTATTTTTATTTTTATTTTTCTGAGATGGAGCCTCTCTCTGTCACCTAGACTGGAGTGCAGTGGCACAATCTTGGCTCACTGCAATCTCCGCCTCCTGGGTTCGAGTAATTCTCCTGTCTCAGCCTCCTGAGTAGCTGGGAATATGGGAATGTGCCACCACACCTGGCTAATTTTTTTGCACTTTTAGTAGATACAGGGTTTCACCATGTTGGACAGGGTGGTCTTGAACTCCTGACCTTGTGATCTGCCCGCCTCAGCCTCCCAAAGTGTTGGGATTGCAGGCATGAGCCACCACCACCATCGTGCCTGGCCTATTGCGACTCAATTTTTAACTGAATTAGAATTAATTTTCTTTTTTGATGCAATATATACACTTATTTGTATGTTTGTTATCTTCATAAAGACATCATATATTTTTGTTGTCTATAGTATAATTTGAATTTAAATAGTTCTTTCTGTATAAAAACCAACATTCTAAATGGCAGGGTTTTTATTAAATGAAATAATGTGTAGGAGAGCATTTAATCCCTGCTTATTTTTCTGTTTCTTACTGGGAAGATTATTGCTCATTAGATATAATAACTAGCAGTCCCATAGCAGTAACTATGTGCAAATTTTATAAACAAATTAGGCCTGACTTTAATATAAGTGAGTCCATTCAGAAATGGGGGAAATATTCTCTTTTTATAGGTTCAATAAAAATCATACTCTTTAGGTCACTAGAGAACAGTTTTGTGTCCTAGGAGAGGCATTTTGCCTTAATGGCTAGAAAGCAGTTGAAGCACCATCCCCTCTAATGGAGCCAAATTCTTTCTTACTAACAATATGTAGGTTAGATTTGATGAATAACGCCCCTGCAGGTTATGAACTCTCAGAGAGCATTTAGTCAGAGCCATGAGAGACTATTATGATCCATTTCCCCCACAATATAAATACTGATCATCTAATTCATTCACGTAGTTCATGCTTCACTACATGTGCTTAAAAATGCCAATAAAGTAATACTAAAGGCAGGATGGATATTCTTACAGAGAAATGCCAGACATACCCTGTCTAACCGTCTAGCTTCTATATGTCTAAGCAGCTGTTGTCTCCAGTCTGCAGGCATTTTACCACAGCTCTCCTCTCCCTTCACAGTAGGCCTCGTCTTTAAATCACTGTTATCTGATGGCTTGTCAACATAGTTACCCAAGTTATAGTCAGATGGTATTTTTTCCAAAAGAGCTGCCATAGTAGGCCTAGCTGAAACTGGCCTGGTTTGGGAGGCACCGTAACTCTCTGTACTGTAGCTTCTTGCAGACAATGGCCTCCTCTGGGTAAGGTTTTTAACTGGAAAACTTCCCGCCTGAGCTTTCACTTCTTGATATGAAGGGTGTTCATCTTCATACCTGCCATTCCTTTTCAGGAACTGGGACTCAGTCACTGTAACGCTGCTTTGGCGATCCAGCCCTCCCCTATATGGAGGTCTGCCGTACCTATCAGTTGGGGGCAGCTCGTGAGGCTCATTGACCCTTCTAAACATGGCCATTTCTGTGGCGCTCACCAGGGAGTCGGCCCTTCTCAGGAAGCCTGCCCTGGCCCCTTGGCTTGCGAACTGGGCATTCACCACAGCATCCTCGTTCACAGATGGCTGAGAAAATGAAAATATCTGCTCCATCGGTGGGTATCCTCTGTAAGCTCTAGGACTAATCAAATCCTTGGCGATGTTTTTGCTGGCCTGTTGCACGTACTCAGGATTGTGTTGAAAAGAGGGTGGTATCCTCTTTTCGGCTTTCACTTCCACTGATCCTTGAGGATTGAAGCTTTGGTCAAATTGATAGACTTTTTTTGTCATAGAAGCTTTTTGTTGTTGTGGCCCTTTACTACTTCCGTAGGTGAGCATCTCATCATCCAGCATCGGGACTGACTGGCTTCGAGACATACTGGACATACCATGCTCTGGTCCCAGCATCTTATCTGGTCGTTCGTGGCTTCCTAAGTGATCACTCGCAGTAGCATAGTTTTCTAATGGTATGTTATACACTTTGTATGTACCAATGTCAATCTCATCGATACTCTGTGACTTTTTGAATTTATTGGACTTGATATCTTTCATTAGGGGAGAAAGCCTCTCTGTGCTTTTGCTAATTGAAATAACACCTTTAGAAGATTCCGGGCGGCAGTGGATTTGAGAAAAGACATTACTAAGACTCCTGTTGGGATTGGAATCATGATACTCCCATGGTACGCCTGGAGAAAAAGGACTAGGTATTTCAGTAGATTCCTTTATATGTTCTTTCCTCTCAGGTAATGGGCTAGTAGTGGGGGTTGTCTCTAATTTGGAAGGAAAAGCGGTCCTGTCTTCAAACGGACTAGGGGTTCTGGTCCAATTCTGCCAAGGATTGGAAGGAGGCACTTCTGTTTCTGGTGTGTGTCTGTGTGTAGACTGCTCAAGTTCCAGGGGAACACCAACAATCCTATCTTGCCTGATCAAAGGCCTACGTCCATGCGAAGATGTGCTTCTAGATTTCGAACTTAAGAGAGGATTACTGTTGGCATTCTCAGCGGCGGTTTCCTCAGCCACAAACCCTGTGTTGTCATAATGTGAGCCATCAGTCCAGTTGTCATTGAAAGCATCACTCATTGGCAGCCGGTCAGGACGCTGTGGTATATTCCCTGGGGGAACAGCCTCTCGCTGGCTGAGTAATGGCTTTGCATCGAGAGGTTGTGGGAAAGACGGTGCAATCCTGTGAACACAATGGGAAGAAGAAATTGAAAAGGACGTAGAGTTGGGTCTTTGGTAGAAAGAGAGCCAGTAGGAAAGAAAGCCATCATCCTTTGTTTAACTGATCAATAATCCTCACTTGTCTTATGATTAAGATAGTATAATTTCATATTAAAAAGAATCCATCCCTTTAGCCTGCTTTAACTTTTATTTTTTCCTAGAAATAATCACCTTGTAATATACTATATAATTTACTTATTATTACATGTATTGTATATGGTCTCGACAGTAGGTATTAAATACATAACCATTGAAGGAATGAATGAAGGAAATATGTAGTTCTTAAGTAATGGTCCTGAAACCTGACTGATAATTAGAATCATATAATTCCTGGTACCCATTCCTGGAGATTCTGATTTGGTACATTTCAAACTATTGGCAGAGAGTACCTTTCTTACAAATGCTTGCTGTATCTAATGAAGCTAAATTGTCTTCAGATAACTTTTATTTGAGGGTCAGGTTTTGAAGACACTAAATGCTATTGTATAAGGAGTGTATTTAGATATCTTTTTGTAGAATGTAAGTTATATTACGACTTTAGATCACTGGCATGTTTATACCATTGACCATGTTATTTCTAGCAGATACTCAAATAATGCAAATAATGAATTTACAAACTGAAAGAGTTAAGATTTTTTATTATGAGTATTAATGAATAGGAAAAGTTACTCATGAATTACTAAAGAAGACACTGCCAACAGTGGCAATATTATCAGTAAAATATGAGTAAAAGTTATTGACTCCCTATATCATATGACAATTTTAATTTGCTATTTGTAGTGTAAAACACAGCAACAAGTTATAAAATGAAATTAGAACTGGGAAAATACTGCCTTATTGAGTCACTTTATTGTGCTCCGTGTGTAGTTTTTGTTTTTTCATCTGCAAAATTAGACTAATATAGAGGAGGAGGCATTTTGGAAAGATTAAGTGCTTTAAAATACATCCTAACTTTTCCAGGTGGTGATAAAATTATGATGATGATGATAGCAATGAAAATTTATTGAACACTTACTCTGTGTCAGGCACATAAATGCTTTACTGGCATTTTATTTTAATCCATAACGCCATTTTGCTTGGTAAAACATCCATGTCTCATCAATAAGTATCAGTGAGCAAACACAATTTTTAAATTTTTTAAACGTTTTGTTCTACCATCTCATCCTGTTACCTCCTATCATGTTTTCCTTAACTAATGGCCTTGCCCTGTAAGGTGGATTCATCTGTTCTTGGCAATCCAACGCGAACATTTGCTTACCTGCCCCTTCTGTCTTCTAGGCCACTTGTGTGCTGAACACAATTCCAAAATTAAGAAGATTCCATTTTTTAAAAAGTTGCTGAAAATAAACGTTGGGGAACAAAAGGAGGGAATTCCAAACACACCTGTTACCCCACAAAGAATTATGTACTGCATCTTTAGCTGTTGTCTGCAAGGACCCCACTTTAACCCGGGTGTTAGAGGATCCTGAGGAAGCCTGGGAAGGCGAGTAGTCTGAGTAAGTGCCTGAGGAAACACTGTTATTCAGACAGTGAGTTTTGTCAACTTCAGACTCATCAGTTGATTCTGAAATTTAAAGGGGAAAATGTTATAATGCTTTGACACTGGCAGTTACACAGAAAAGCAAGTATGAAAAATGGAAACCATACCGATTAAGGTTAGAGATGCAAATTTGTAAAATATTTGTATAGACAATGGTGTATCATAATCATACAACTGCTGATTCATCATGCACATGCATTTGTAGCATATTTTCCACATTGGGCTCACAATGTTACCTTTTTTGTCCTTCCCTAGCAGAACAAGTTTGGGTGGGTACAGAGGGGTCTCAGCTAATGAAGGGTGAAGTTCCCCAATCCTCATTTCATTAGCTGGATGAACAAAAGAATCCTGAGAGATATAATAATACAGGACAAGGAAAGTAAACATTTTAACAATGGTTAACCAAAGTGGCAGTATCTTTATTTGGCTCAGATTCAAAAATGTGACTCTAGAATTCATATGTATCTCTGAGTTAAGCACTAAAAAAAGTTTTTTTCTAATGTAAGTGAGTCCATTTTTTGCATATTGTTTATATGGCTGGCACTGTGCAATGAACCGCGGAGATTCCAAAGAAAGATAAAATGTGGCCGGTACCCTCTGGGAGTTTATAATCTAGTTGGAGAGATGAGATATAACTCATTAGAACACCAGACTGAATTATGATAAGCCATATACGAGCAGTACAATTCACACAAATATATATATATGTAATTGTTCTAGTGGTGAATTCTCTTAAGAGTTTTAAGAGGACAGTATATCACTGACCAGATAAAATTTTCTTTTTTGTGCATCTCTAGCTGTATTAATTCACTGTCGGGTCCTATAAATTCTGCTCTTCCCACTACTTTCCTCCTAACTTTCTACTGTTTCCCAAGTGATCATCACCTCAATTTCTCAAGTTCCATCATGTCTTTTTCCAAAGGTTCCTGGTTTTCTCAAACCTAACCTAGGGCACCAAATCTTCATTCGATATTCCTTATTTGAGTGTAATAAGCAATATTGATACACTACTATAACTTCATAATGACAAATAAACATGTAGAAAACCCATGAATTTTCAACTTCCACCATTTAAATTACTATTCTCAGTTAACCACGTAGTGTGGAGAGCATTAGGGGAAGGTAAAATACCAAATTCTCACTTACTTCTACATATAAAAATGCCATATTTATGCCCATAAGTATGTATTTATGCATAGTAGCTATCATTATGTCTTATTTTCCCTTAAGATTAATTTTAATTCAAATAAGAATTTTTCAGCTTTTTAATTCATTAGTATCTTGTGAGTTTGGAGCACTAATGCAAAATACTTAGAAATATTTTGTTAAATCAGAGAAAAAATACACTTGAGGACAAAAATATCATAAATTTAAAAAGTCCTGTCTTTAATCGGTTGGTATAATGAACAGGCAGCAACTCTTACTATAAATATAATATATTGCCAAGGACCCCCATAGTGACATGCTCAGGTCTTTGGTTATTGCAGAGAAGCATGTCCATTTCTTTAACTCTTGGTTTAAGTTCAATCTTTTGGGATTCTTTTGGCTTAGGTTTGTATGGAAATATTTGCCCAAAAAACCTGGGTATATCTGTTACTTGTTATTTTTAAAAAATAGAATATTTCAATAAAAGAAAATGGGAAGATCATTTAGTCTAACACCTTTGTTTTCTAGAGGTGGGTTCTGAGACTCAGCTTAGGCCTAGGTTACACAGATGATTAGATAAAGATCCAGCACTGTATTGGGCTCCATTTCAGTGATTTTTCCTTACCTTGTGCTGCCTCCTGGTGAGCTCAGCTGTGAGCACATGAAGAACTTAAAACAATGTATCAAGTTGCAAAGAGAATAGGAAAAGGAGTAGAATCCAAAATTCAGTAGTTGAAGAGGCTATATTTGCTACTCAAAGGTCTTCTATGGGATACTATGTATGCCATATTGCCTATCCTAAGAAAAGCTCATTTCTCACCTGGGCTTCACAGAGCAAAGCTAACTACCCAGCAAAAGAAATTAACTGCTGACTTTGATTTTATAAATTCTTTTATAAAGGCCATATTTTCTTTATTTTGATTGATTTTAAAAATTATTTCAAAGATTTAGCATAAGAAATGCATGACAAAGTTTTAGGGTGACAGAATGGAGGATAAATGCCTTTACATTCCTTTGGAAAAATTTATAAAAAGATATGAGTTTGAGAAACAGTGCCATGAAAGGCATAAAACATGTTGACTTGCCAAAAAAATTTGTTACAAAGTATCATATTTCCATCCTATTTCTATTTTTATATTTTATTAGTCAAGCTACCTTGGGCAAGTCAGTGTATTTCTCTGGGCATTATCATTATCAAAGTGAAAGTAATCATAGTAAGAATTAGTGCCAATTCCTGTCTAGTACTAACAATCTGTGAATCTAAAGGTAAGTTATTTGTTTATATAATAATTTAAAAATATTTCTATGATAACTAATTACAAGAGTGGGAATTTTGTTTTATTCAAAAGAAAAACAAAAATAGAATAGAAACACAGAAAAGCAAACCAGCTGGTTGTACAAGCACAGAATTTTAACATAATTAACGGTTTTTTTCTTTTTTTTTCTCTTATGCTCTGCACGTTCAGTCCTCAGGTCATCTTGTTTGCATTGATTAGGTTTTCAAACTTGTATACCAAAATTATGACTGGAACTCTGCATGGTAGCTCTGGTTTGACTCAGGTTCAAGTTTTTGAACCTGTTCAAGAATTTCTATTGTGAATTGAAAACAGCCTTAGTGACCAAGCAGAGAGGATGATTATCAGCTAATTATGAACTTGTATTTCTTCTTAGAATAACATTATTGAGACAAGAATGACAAATTTGCACTGACAAGTAGATTCTCTTACCCTTATGAACAAAGTGATGATAATGATGATGACAATGATGATAATGGCCATAAATTACATGGCATTGATTACATCTGCTGCTGTGCTTCTATACTAAACACTCTATCTATATTAACTTTGTTGATTATTTAAAAGACCACCTTATTTTTTATCATTATGTGGCATTTAAATTATTTTATTATCATCATTTTTGTTCTGCAGATAAGGAAATGGAGGCTTAGTGAGGTAAAAATCATAATTCTAAATCACAAACTTAATAAATGGTAGAGACAGGATTTGAACTGGGATCTGTGCTCCTCACAGGTCTTCTATGTGATACCGTGTATGCTGTATTGTCTATCCTAAGATCACTCATTTCTCACATGGCTTCACAAAGCAAAGGTAACTATCCAACAAAGGAAATAAATCACCAATTTTGTTTCTATAAATTCTTTTATAGAGGCTGGAGGAATTGAGTTTCTTTTGGAAAAGTGGGTAAAGTTTTGGGGACTACTTCTGTGGGCAAAGACAGAGGAAGTTTTTGGTAGAAAACAGAATTTAGTGGGATTTCACTGTAAGCACATTAAACCATATTTTCTTTCTTGTGAGAAGACAGAAGTGGGAGGGAAAGAAAAGGTAAAATTTTCTTTTTCACACAATTGCCCTTCCACTGTTCAGATTACATCTTGGCTGCTACTGCCATAAAGAAAAGAAGCCACGGGTAGAAGTCAAAGGAGAGAAAGCAAGCTTGTTTCTGAGCTTTTGAGAGTCGAGGCCTAGCATGAATAAAAGTAATTTAAGTTAAATTTTGAGGGTAACTGACAATTTTCTGTTACAGGAAGAAAGATGTTTCTCTATTGAGGAAAATTGAAAAAAATTGGGCTGAGTCTTCTAGCAAAGGGAAAAATGCAGGACATTTTTGGAAGTCTCTGCCTTCATGAAACTCACAGTCTGAAGTCAAGAAACAAAGTAATCATAACTGTCCATTATATTTAATGTGATAATATGACGTGATAGAGAATATCAGAGGATCCAACTGATCAGGGTGATCAGGGATGGCCTTCCTGCTGAGGTGACTTTTAAGCTGAAACTGGAAGGATGAGGATGTGCTAGCCATATAAAGAGATCTGAGGAGAGGCAAATGCAAAGTCCACGAGGCATTATAAAAGAAAATCTTCCTCTCCTCCTTCCTCTTATGGCTCTGCTAGGTCTGTTCTTTATCTGACATAATGTCTGTTAAAACCATTGGCATATAGTTGGCAAAATGAAAGTGAGCAATAAATATTTATTTACCTTTTTTCCCCTTAGTTGCATTTGTAGTCTTTTTACCTTATTTATCTTTTCTGTTTCCCACTTCTGGTCCTGCCTACCTTTATTCTTTTATTTTTTGGTTTTCTGTATTTAATCACATGAATAAATATATAATGCAGTGTATAATACCCTCTTTCATAGCCTTGGCAGTGTGAACTAATAACAACAACACACAAAAATGGCATACAAGTGCAAAACATATTATAAATGCTTAGTATGCACCGTTCAGCTTGGTTATGCACATTTATTAAATCGGGGCATTGAAAAATAGAGGGTGGCCCTTTACTCTGCAGTTAATTTGAGACAGAAGGATAATACAGAAAGCAACAGTTCCTTCTTGCTCTAGGTCGGTTAAAAGTTAGGAAGCGAAGATCTAGAATCTCAATTTTAGATAAAGTATTGAAATTACCAGTGAAATTTCTGTTCAAGAGGAAAAGCTTAGTAGAAGAAAGCTAAGAAAGGGGTGGTGCAAATTCACACAGACAAATTTAAAGCTCAAAGTTGAGCTTTAATCTTAGCCTTGGCAATAAAAAGTCATTGTAGTGTTTTTAAGGAGGGCAAGGAAATGATTAGAATTCTGTTTTAGAAAGATCATTGACAAGGCAATGAGGAGGCAGGGGACAAAAGAAGCCAAGAAATGGGTATTTTTTATAGTAATGCAGGACAGAGTTGAGAGCCTGAGGATGCAGAAATGATACACTTAGGTGAAAAATGCACAGGCTTTGGTAATTATTTGGAAAAGGCAGGAAGTAGAGAGAAAGAAGGAAAAATAAATTAGGACACCTCTCAAATTTCTAGCTGGAGTGAAACAGAAGATAATGGTGCTAGTGAGATAAAAATATGGAACACAAAAGTAAAAACAAAAGCAAGTTTGCAAAGGAAACATTAAATCTAATTTTGGATTTGTTACGCTTGACCTGATTGTGGGACACTTTTAAAATATATTATTAAATTCATGACCAAATCCTCATCTATCCCATCCCTGCATTAAGGCATTTTAGAATCTGATTTTCGAGTAAAAGTATCCAGTTTACAGACTTTCATGACCACTAGTTTTTTTGATGTTAAATTGTGATTACAGGATATTTAAATATAAAATGTACATGTATGTATTTAGTGTGTATCTGCTAAATGTTGTTTTCCTTCCTCTTTATATTGCAGCAATATCTTTGAGACAAAAGAACAGTCTGTTGCTTTACTATAACATATGTATAATATTTTGGAAAGAAAAAGTTTAATAATACTGATTTTATAAGCAAAAAACAATGAAAATGAATGTTCGTTTTTTTTTTCCTTAGAAGTCTAGCTGTATTCCCCTCCTCTGGGGTAGGCTGGTACCTCTGCTGGCAGATGTGTACACTATGCTTATTTTTGCTCAAGATCTTCCCTTTGCCTGGAATACCCTCTTCCCTTTTCCACTTTAACAGAATGACCCTATCTTTAACACATAGTCTAAACTAAACTTGGAGCATTATATTCTCCATCACTTGACCAACCATGTGATCATATTTTACATAATATGCTTTTTAATTGTTTTATGTGTCTTAAGTGTATCTAGCTAGGCTTTAAGTTATTGGGGGATTATGGACACATTTTATATTTCTTTTTTTTTCTCTCACAGTATTTAGCACAGTACTACACATACAGTTGGTGTTTAATAAATGCAACAAATTGATGCTCTGAAATGCAGATTTGTAAAAGAGTTTTGCTAATCTAGATTTAGATTTTTGAGAAGTAGTTATGTGAACTTACAGATGTACTAATATCAATTATGTTTCTAATGAAGATAAAAAGATGATAACCAAATTAGCTGAAGAGTTGATGAAATAGTAGAGGTGGTGTAAGTGCAGTTGAATTCTTTTCAGACCACAAAATCAATAAGGATGAATTTCTAACTCATTCTAAAATACAGGAAATAGCTTCACATGACTAGATTCCATAAATCTAAATTTCAAAGTTATTTTCTTTTTATTTTTAATTAGTGTTTCCTAGAAAAGTTGTAACCCAAAGATAAAAACATTTAAAAAATTGTGTTCTAGATCTAATTAGGAATTTTATGGGATTTGGAGAATGGAAAATCTTGGATTAGTCTTTCTTAATGAATGATACAACAAAAGTTTGGGGTAGCCAAAATAATATCACTAATGTGATATAGTGCACTCACTGGCCAGGCCTTGCTGGGTGACGAACTTTTTCATTCTGTGTATACTGGAACTTCTGGAGCTATGTTAATGATTTTAGGCCATGAGGGCATCATTTTTCTGGATTTATTAAATGCAACCCTCATAGTTTATATTTTATCATTTATATTTCAGGAAAAAATACACTTATCAAGGAAGAGCTATTCAGTTAAAAAAAGTATTTAAAATTCCAAAAAAATCCAAACCACACATGGCAATTACCAATAACCTTCAAATACCTCCACTGTAATCTCCTTTGGGGCTACCGGCCACTTGTGTTCATATTTTTCTTTCACAGTTTGCTCCGTGTTAGCAGTTGGATTTGAATTCTCAACACGCACTCCATGGCTTGGCTTACCCACCAGATTTTGAACAGATTTTACCATATTCTTTAAATCCTCTGGGTAAGGAGTTGGATATCGTTTTAGGTTTATTTCAACCTAGAAGTTTACAAAAAGAAATTTAACATAAAGTAACTTCAGCAAGCATGTTCACAAAACTACCCCATTTTATATTCAGTAGTATAACCAAATGCAATACAGTGAGTGTTGAGCTGGCTAAGAAACTCTGTTATAGAGTAGAACGCATAGTGTTCTCATATTCAGCCTTGTGGGACTTCTCACCCCTTCCTACCCTTCTGGATTATAAACTAATTTTGAATTATGTTCTATCTTTAGACCTACCTATAGATGGCTGAAATAGCAGTAGGTCAGAACACTTAAGTGATTGGTAATTTGAAAAATTTAATCAGGTTATATCAGCTGCTTTCTTACTTTCTCTTCCCTATTTTAGACACTGTTCTCTTCCCTATTTTAATATTTATAAGTAATAATGTTGATAGTAAGAGTATCTTTTGAGTACCAATGCAGGTGATGGGAGGAGACCCCAAAAGATTTATGAGTCACATATTGAAAAATGGAGTGTCGACAATATCTGCTGCCCAAATAAGCATTAGCTTTATGTTAGTGTGTTATATCAAAAAGTAGGATAGCTAATTCTCATTAATCCCTAAGGGAAAAAATGCTACAGGCTGGTTTTTATATTTACTTTGTACCCTAAGAAACATGCTTCTTGAATAATATCTTATAATGAAGAGAAATTAAAAATTGGCACCACTTTCTAAGTTATTTTAGGTACACGTATAAATTCTGGCTTTTATCTATACAGCTACTTATTCCATTCTTGAATTCATTTTAGGGTATCAATCTAACTTCTCAGAACACATGTTAATGACTATTCTTAGCAATAAATTTAGAAAGAGAAAATATTAGACATTCCATATAGAATATTTCACCATCAGGGTACTTGTTATACTGTATTTAAAATAGAATAAGTTCAAGTTGTGTATGCTAATTAAAAGGGACTAGAAAAAAAAAAAAGAATTTACTTGGCCTGGCTTGGTCTGACAATCATGTTTTGCATCTGAGTAGAATCAACTTTACAAAATGAAATGATTTATGTGATTGTGGTGGCAATGTGTCTGTGGAAAGTGTTTGTGGGGGTGGGAGGCTAGGAGGAGAGAAGGTGAAAGAGAAGCAGTAAAGGAAGAGGAAGAGTGGAAAAGGGAGAGAAAAAAATAGGGAGGGGCATATCCACCCCCGCCCCCACACAGCCTTGTAATTCATGGGATGTAAGAAACTATGATGGTGATATAGATCCGAAAATTATGAATACGAATTCAAACACTTTTGCCCATCTGCAGTTTTAGCAAATCCACCAACTGTGTTGTTATTCTCAGAATTTTGTCTTCCTTGTGGCTCATTTTTTTCTCATCAAATACTGGAATTGGACTTCACTAGATGATTTCTAACATTCCTTTTAATATTAAAAATATAAAATTATTATTCCAGTAACTATTTGGAAAATAAATGAAAAACCAGATAATTTTGTTAATGTAAGTGTTGTTTAAACGTAGTTCAATCTCTTTAAACTTCCAAATAAATAAGGATGACATTGATAATATATAGAAATATAGCTACAAAAATATAACCCAAGACAAGGTTAGAATTTACAGAAAAAAAGTATAAGTTGTAGACTGTAATATAAATAAATCCCAGGGTACTTAATTTGTAATGTATTCTTAAATAAACATAAAAGGAATGATATGACTACTAGACAAAGTCCATTGGGATGCATGCATTCTTAGATCTGTTGTTTAAATTGGTATTAAAATGTTAATCATAAATTAAGTCTAATTTTTAAATTATATCATTGAACTTGTTTAAAAGTACTTGACATCAAAGTGCTAGAAGTAAAAAAAAATTACATTAAAATGTAAATTGTAGAATGCTGTGACTATCATGCCAATTAAGAACATTTTATTTTTTTATAACCAGCTATATGTGAATAAAAAATATGCAAAAGTAGGGCATTGAATTAAAATTCTATGCAACTTAAAAAATCCCCAACATTAAACCTAGACTTATAAATTGAATGGAAGGCAAAAGAAATGTGAAATATTCTTCCTTAATTGAATTAAATATTTCATTGAATAATGTAATGTATTTTTTGTTAGATGCTATGTCCCATCTGACACAATTAGATCAATATTTGCCATGGTACTATGTAATATTTTCTGGTTATTTTATTTTATTTATTTTTATTTTTATTTTTGAGATGGATTTCACTCTTGTTGCCCAGGCTGGAGTACAATGGTGCAATCTCAGCTCACTGCAACTTCTGCCTCCCAGGTTCAAGTGATTCTCTTGCCTCAGCCTTCCGAGTAGCTGGGATTACAGGCATGTGCCACCAAGCCCGGCTAATTTTGTATTTTTGGTAGAGATGGGGTTTCTCCATGTTGGTCAGGCTGGTCTCAAACTCCCTATCTCAGGTGATCTGCCCGCTTCAACCTCCCAAAGTGCTGGGATTACAGGTGTGAGCCACCGTGCCCGGCCTGGTTATTTTATAAACAAGCACATACGATATTTTGGCCACATTACCGGAATATGTTTGAAAATTTTATTTCAACATTTAAATCTAGGAATAGATTTGCTGTGCAACAAATGCTGTTTACCTACACACCTCTTCCAGCGTCTTGAGAGGGGCTCTATTATTTATAGAGTCATTTTATATTCTTTTCCTGAAAGAGGACCCTCCTTAAATTGAGGGAGTTCCAGGTCTTATGAAGCTCGGGTGTGTTTCACCCAAAGCATAAGCTCCTTGCTTCTCATTTACTAGCCTATTAGCTAGTAATGAGTCAGTAGATTTAAACTTAAGACATAGATTGATTCCCAACTAGCTATCATCCACTAATCTTTCTGTTGTTTCTACTCATGTAAAATGGAAACGATAATATCTTTCCTACATGCTTGGGTTAATCTGGAGCTAAAATGTGAAAAATGTGAAGGTTCTTTGAAAATCTGTAAACTCTGTGCAGAGATTAGATACTATTTCTAATGTCACATTTTACTTAATGTATTTTAAAAATCTGGATTCCATTGGTGATCTAGACTCTACTCGGTATATGTCTAAACATAATATCTGTAACTGTCTGGATCTTTTTTCATTTACACATAGCAATAGTTATCATTTATTCAGTATCTACCATGTGCCAGCCACCATGTTAAATGTTTTATAGGGATATTTAATTTATTATTAATTATTTACATAAACATTTATTATTAGTTCTATAGGTTTAAATATTAATATTTATATGCTAAATAATACATGATTAATAATTATTATATAATCATTATAATAAAATCTCACCCAAGTTTTATAACCCATTGCAGAAGCTGTTGTCACTTTACAGAAGGAAAAGTGTTCCTCAGACCATGTATATAACTTGTTTAAGATTACATAGGTAATAGATGCAAGACTCTAACTTAGGTCTTTTGGCTCCCATGCTTATGCTACCCAAGTGTTACTTAGCTCAGAGATATTCCCTTGTATGGGTGCAGCACATATTTGTGCAATATTGTGGAAGAAATACTGTAAGCCTAAAATGTGAATTTCTCTGAGTTAAATAGTGAAATAAAAATATATTTTTTAAAAAACTAAGTAACACAATATTTTATAGTTTTTTTAAGATGAAAATGTATTTTATAATTGTATTATGTTTGTAAGCTCTATGCAAGCATGTTTTATGCCCATTTATAGATTACTTTGCTTTATTTTTCAATGGATATATGCAGTGCATCAGAAATGAATAAACATGATTATAAACTATTATACTAATAGTTCAGTATATCTAAATATATAGACTATAAATATTCCCTTATTCCAATCTGAGATAAAAAAAATATAAATTTGTTTATTATACACATAGGTGGGAAAATCAATTATATTCTTGAAAACTGTTGTGTTTATCACTCACTATAAAGTATTTGCTCACTTCACGTATACATTTTATTAAAATGCAAGATTTTTACTAAAACTTACTTTAATTTTGAAAAACAAATTTTTTACAACATTCTTCATATCTTAGATCTAAATAAAGTGCAGTAAATGCAAATAGCAGTTGCAAGATGTTGGAGACCCCCCAAAATAGCAATAAAGAATTACTTAAGGTTAATAGCCAGGGCATTCAGAGCATTTAGAAATGATACCTTGAATTCACACAGAACTATGTTTTTTATACATTATAATATATTATATAATATAATATATTATATTTCACATCATGATTAAATTCTAATTTGATTTGATTGTAAATTCCAGTAAGAGAAATAATAGTTGATACTTTGATCATTGACTGTTAAATATTATATTACTCTGAGAATTAAGTGGAATGTTTTTCAAAGAAAAGAAACTTATAGTAGTTTTAGTTAGGAAAATGCATTCTCAGCTTGCCTTATATTGTAGCAAAAATATAAGACAACAGACAACTATCTAGTCCATTACATGTGGATAGGAAAGTTTACAAGACATGCAGTGTTTTTCATATTCTAGTAAGACACATTTCCCCTCCCACCTCTTAAAACACCCAACCATAGAGATAAGGAAGCCCTATTTGCCACGACTTCCAATTCAATCTTCTCTTACAGGAATTCATATGATCTGTGTCTTCAAATTAAAAGAAATTGATGCTTTTCAGTAGATGTCTATCTTTGTGCTTAAAGGCCACTCTCAGCAAATCTCAATTCAAATCTCATGCTATTTTAAGAATTAAGGTATAGCTATTTAATTTTCCCCAGAATTCACAGTATAAAAAATGTGCACATATGTGGAGGGGACAATTTAGAATATATCAATAGTGTCATCAACATTCTGCCCAACTATTGGTATTCCCACACTTTAAATGAAAGAGAAAAATAAAATAAAATAAAATGAAAATAAAGCACCCAACTAAAAAACCATGCCAGATATCCCAACAATAGGCACCTCACATTGATATTCCCTCCCTTCTGACTTAGTCCTCCCCGTCCCATTGCAAATATCAATAAACAAAAGGTTAAATTGAGATCAAACACTGGCAATTTGAAGGTTTCTATGTGATCAACATTTCTTATCCCAAATCATGCAGAACATACCCCATAAACCACTGTTCCAAGGTTGCCTCTACATGGGAGATTCTCCTACCCCAGACACCTAGGCCTACCTGTCTGCCACTTAGAGAGGGAAGAGTGGTGGATTGTGCTGCAACTGGCAATGGAGTACACATGCTCCTTTCCTGCTGGAGGCCACTTATACAACCCCATGCCAGCTGTGGGTCATTCTGGGGGACGGGCATATCTTGGATCTGCTGATCACACCTGGCCCATGGTGTGCAGCAATCGCCAGACAGTCTGGCAGGTTGGAGAGTAATCCCACGCTGGCCCCTTTCCCAGGGGGCTTGGCAGGAGAGATCCTGTGGGAGAAGGAATCTCCATTTTCTGGGAGAAAGAGGAGCACTGTAGCAATACTTTCACTTTATCATTTTTCTACTCTCAGTTTTTTCTTTCACTCTGAGTTATGCATTTAAAACAATAATCATAAAATTAGTTTTAAATCCATGTATAAAACAGTACTAATTTTATATGACTGCTAAAGGGTCACAATTTCTTCACACAATGCAGCATTCATACTACACTACACAGACTATAAGTAGGGCATTATACTCTAGTCCATTTGAAAGTTGAAAGCGTAGGTCAATGATTCCTTTTTAAATTTCATGTAAATTAAAGGTAAAATGGTGATAAATTTAATGTACATGTAATGAACCAGAAAAGTGTGATTAATTTAGTGTAATATTACAATATATTCTATTCATCACACTTCCATGATGATTTATTTAGAAGTTTGTTTGTGCTCTAATTTGCCCAATAGCCAATGGCATTGGAAATATTCAAATTAGTTAAAACTGAGTAGTCTGAGATTTTGAAACAAACATTGTTTTGTTAATACATAAATAAACCAAATGTAAATAAATGCAGAGAAAAAAAACACTCTAAAGTATAATGAACCTACTCTGATTATAAACAATCTTGAACACATAACACACAAACAGGGCTTCTAAATAATTGTTAGCATTTACTGTATTTTATGTTTTCATTGACACATATACCAGAGTATTAAATGCACTTTCTTCTTGAATTCTTTGAATACAGAATTTCAGGAAGAAGCATGTAATGTTTGTTAATTCAATGAAATCTAAAAATGAATCAGAATTCTGGTTTAGAATGCATCATCCATTGGTTCTGGATTTAACGCATGAAATCCCTAAAAGAACAGAAATGTTCTGAAGGTTTGTTTGTTTTTAGTTTAGCATTATTTTTTCTAGGAATTCACAAGTTCAAAAAGATGTCTCTTTGGTTGTTAGACAGCACTAATCAACTATCCAGAGACATTTTTTTTAAAAACCCAAATCTTTTAACAAAATTGTTATTTCGGATTTGGGAATCCATTTTGGGTTCTCCGTAACGATATTGGTAGGCCTTGCCAGTGAGTGCTCATGTGCTGATTTAATAAATAAAGATTAGAAAGTGTGGAGAGGACAGAGAAGAATACAACATACAATCTAGCTTTATTAATAGAGCATATATGCAATTATAAAGGAAATTAGTCACTAAGAGTGAGAGCTGTTAGTAGCCATGATAGAATAAGTACACATACAATATTATAGAAAGTAAATGAGAGATTCAAGATGTTACCATGACAACAACATGTAATGTAATGTTGATAAAATCTAAATCAATTCTGATGATAATTAAAAATTTAAGTAATGGAGAAATATATATTTTAAAATTCGATCTTGTTACTTGAGTTAGTAGTCCCCATAAAAGATCTTTTAAAATATGCTTTGAGGTGAAAAATACTTAAGTTATGTTCCCTAAGGAACATCACCTGCCATTAGGCACTAACCTCCTTTAAAACTTGTCCTCACATTTAAGGAAACTCATAAATTCTTCTTGAATAGCCCAAGGACACAGAGCTTTTCAAATGTTTTAATGCCAATGTAACATATTAATCTGTTGGCCCTTCCTGAAATGTTTATTTTGGCCTCATTCAGTCTGCATGATGCCTTTGCTCAGTGATTTAAAAAAACAAAACAAAATAAAACAAACAAAAAAAAACACAATTGTAGTGTGCAGTGTGCCAGCAATGAAATAAAGTGCTTAGATGAAGTCTGTCACACAGATTTATTTTCTACTTTCTCTCAGCTTGAATCTCTCTCATGCAGTTGTTCTGTTGGATAAGGTGGCATTTCAAATTTGCTCACTCAGATCTGGGACATTAGTCTCATTCTGAAGCACACCAATGCTTCCAGAATTACCAGCCCAGCGTGCTGTAATAAAAGGTACCACCATGAGACTTGAAGAGATTATCTGACTTTGTCCCAAAATCTATCTGAATAAGAAAAATGGACAAACAAAATGGTAAGGAGAAGAAAGGGGAAACAAAAGCTAAAAGGTTCACCTTAACTTTCCCAGCATTTTCATCATCTTCCTTTTTGTCTTCAAATTCAAAGGCAACAGTCATGCGTTGTTGTCTCTGTTCTTCCCACAGTGTAGGGTTAAAGCTGTCACTGTCTGACTGGAAATCTACAGTTAGATTCCAAAATATTATTGCTTTTTTAAAAAATGATTTTACACAGAGTATTTAATACACTATGCAAAAATAGTGATAAATACTACAAACAAATACAAAAACGAAGAAAGAAAGAAAGAGAAAGAAGGAAAGAGAAAAGAATAAAATTCCTTTGATATTTATTACATGGTCTTTTGTAATCTGAACTCAAATTCAGTATTCCTAAACACTCAGGATTGGAAAATTTTCTAGTGTAGGAAATGGGCTCCCCAAAGGACAATAATAATAATACAAAGAGTTGGACCAACCATTTTAAAGCGTTATCTGTTTCAATCCTTACAACAACACAATGGTACTACCAATCTCATCCTTATTTTACTAATGAGTTTTAAGGGGCTTGCTCAAAGTGCTAAGAGACTTCTCAGTGGCTAGTGCAGGATTCTATTTCTGTTTAAATAGAAACCTTATTTGTAACTGCTAAACTCTATCAAAATTTCTTTTATAAAAGTTACCACATAGCATTGACTTTGCAATAAAGTGTCTAAGATTGCAACCTTTTGTTTTTATTACGGGTGCATTGAGAGGAGCTTGTTTTTATGGTAGAGAACATGGAAAATTTCGTCTGTTTCAATTAGCTTAAATATGTTAAATTAACAGAGAAATGGCTTATAAATCTTTAATTTACAAAAAAATGTTGGCTAATGATAATATCTTCTTTGCAACATTATGGCAAAGATCACATGAAAATGCAATAAAAGTACTTAGTTAAGGCTAAATTCTTTTCCAAAGGAGGTCCTTTATCATATATCTTTGTTTGTTGCAAGGGATTCTGAAAACTCATTTATTACACTCCTGCCTGGAAAACCAAAAGATAACTTGCTTTAAGTTCAAGGAAACTTTTCAATTACCAACGTTTTTTTCTCAAAGAAAAAACAAAACCAAAAATAAACCCAACTAGGCTAATTTCTTAACACTACATCTTACCTAACTAAATCTACAAATTAGAGATTCAATCTGTGAGACTGGATCTCAGAAATGACCAGTGAATATGAGATACTTTTCATTTTTCCCTAATTCTTTTGAAGTTAAATATTTTGATGATGTTGAGCTATTAAAATGAAAATGTAAAGCTGCATGAATATAACATAATCCTTACTTAAGATGTCTCATAAAATATGTAAACATGGTGGCTTTTATCAATTCAAAAGATCAATTTTATTGACTTCTAAAAATGCGTATTAAAACACTCTTTTATTTTCATACATCTGTAAGCCAAAATTTGAAGAAAAATATCCTAAAATATTACAAAATGATTCATTTGCATTTGGAGGTCAAAGACTAAAGTTATGTATTATAATTATCCCTGAAAATTAGAAATACATAAACAAATAGTTTCTTTTACAAGTTGGCCTCATTCACATGAATTGGGTAGATTTAATCCATGGCTAGATTAAAATGAGTTTACTCGCCAAGAATTACTGTTACTCTATAACTGTAGAAAATGTGCATATCAGCTTGTGCTGGCTTGGGCTAAGGAGACTATGCTAAGTTTCAAACAGCAAAGGATGAAGATCTTTTTGTTTGAGACAGAGTTTTTGCTCTTGTTGCCCAGGTGCTATATTGGCTCACTGCAACCTCTGCCTCCCAGGTACAAGTGATTCTCCTGTCTCAGCCTCCCAAGTAGCTTGGATTACAGGCATGCGCCACCATGCCTGGCAAATTTTTTTGTATTTAGTAGAGATGGGTTTCACCATCTTTTTGTATTTATTCACAATTTTTTTGTATTTAGTAGAGATGGGTTTCACCCAGAGATGGGTTTCTTAGGCTGGTCGAGGACTCTTGATCGCAGGTGATGCGTCTGCCTACGCCTCCCAAAGTGCTGGGATTACAGGTGTGCATCACTGCACCAGGCCTAGGAGGAAGCTACCTTTTTTATGGATAATGTGATCACAGAAGAGAATATTTAATTATTGGAAAAGGATTTAGGGACATTGTTTAAGGAAACTTAACATGAAAAAGAAAGAATGGTCTTATTTGCAAGTATCTCTTTATGGTTGACTTAGACCATGAAATAATCTGAGTCTGGAGATTACTGGACTAGATGTTAATTGTGTTCATGCAATAAGTGAACACAGCAAATAAACCAGTTCATTGAAATCTCTTTAAGATCTGACTGCTCTTAGCTCATTTCAATGCTGGGCACCACATTTACTTTACTAGTCATGTGTCTTGCAATCCATAAAGAAAAATAGTTGCTCCTAAAAATCAACATTATTTTAACGTAAAATACAAAGAGGAAGAGTTTTGTCTTGGAAGCTTACCTAAAATAGAGTAGAAAATAAGACTTATGCTTAACGTATATCCGAAATGGTATTTGTGTGTCATGTAATTATCTTTATAGGCTTGCCCATGAGCCAGTATTCTTGGCCAGAGATCAGAATAAAATTAGTCTTTTCTATCCATAATCATTATAAGTAGAGAAGAAATTTCTACTGACAGTTTACCTTCATCACCACGAGGCTGCTGGGGAAACATGTAGTTAGTCAATACCCTTTGCTTTGTTTCTGGATGGGCTTCTGTTTGTAAAGGGATAAGGGCTTTGGACTAGAAGCAAAGAACATATAAATTAGATTAATACAATTGTAAATATAAAGAATATTTATTTGCATAACAGTCAATAGTCTGGCCTCACCCAGATAAATGAATGTTGGAAAAAATAAGTGAAAAAACAAAGTAATAAAATAAGAAATTACAACATGAAATAATACTATTACTGAGGAATATTTTCATATTCTAAGATTTCCATAATAAGGTTTTCTTCCTCTTTAGTATACTCTTTTAAAAACTTACCAAAACCTATTCAACTGAGCAATGTCAGATTTAATCCTGAAGAGTTCAAAATGTGTTAAATTGTTTCAACTAAGTAAGCTTTTGGTATGGTTCTATATGCCTATTCATTTTCATGGATTGTTGCCCTAGAAAGACAAATGGAATTTGCTATCAAATTAATGCTATACAAGATCATCTATTAACTTAATTAGGTTAAAACAGTATTCATTTATTTATAAGAAATATTTTTATAGCCAAAGACAGGGTCCACTTTATAGATAAGTAACTATACTTGTACTTGATATATTATAATATATTGACCTCTGTTCATATGTCATCCTCTGTTATTAATTTGATTTCAGAAATACTAATTTTGAAGGGGTACTGTAGAGCTCTGATATTCAATGTCAAAATATATTGGAAATGATATTATCTAATATACTAAAAATCTGCTTATTTAATGAGATTAATAGGAGTGAAACACAAAGGGGATTTGTGATATCAGTTTGTCTCATGAAACTGAGTCATAACCACACTATATTACTGTTCTAAATAAAAGTTAAATGATGCAGTCACTGCTCTGTGCATTCTCCCACAAGAATAATAAATTATATTGTTTTATTTCCCACAATACGATATGTGGAATACACTATTCCATTAGCATAGTTCACATTGATTTCAGAAATGATTTATTCATGATGATATATTGATGCCTTGAAGAATTGATTTATTTTTGATAAGATTTGAATTTGAATTACTAATTTTTGACTCAGTAGATGGAAGCAAATGCTGTAATTACTGTAGGAACACAAACAATATTCTTACATTTACATTTTACAATTTGTAAAGATTATTTTAAATTTTCCACAAAAGAGTCCAATGACTACTGGACAATTCACTTACCAGTAATGCTACTGTTATGCTCAGAAAATAATGCTGAGCTAAATTCAAGATGAATTGCTTTCATTTGGCCATTCATATTTGAGGATAGGTGTTTCAAAATTTAAGGATCACAAGAAAAAAGAGGACTAATAAACTATACCAAAATTGTCTATCATTAGTTCTTTTGTAGTCAGATATCCTCAATGGTTTCTTGTTATTTTCCAGTTAATAAAATTATTTACTAATGCAATATTACTGATTCAATTAAAATCTGTTTTCAAGAGGATAAAAAATATCAAAACAATGTTACAGAAAATACTAATAGTTGTCAGAAAGATATTGCGATATTGCAATTTGTTTTTCTTTTTACTTTTTCTTTTTTTGAGTTGGAGTCTCACTCTGTCACCCAGGCTGGAGTGCAGTGGTATGATCTCGACTCACTGCACCCTGTGCCTCCCAGGTTCAAGTAATCCTCCTGCCTCCGCCTCCCGAATGGCTGGGATTATGGGTGCATGCCTCCGTGCCAGGCTAGTTTTGTATGTTTAGTAGAGACAGGGTTTCACCATGTTGGTCAGGCTGGTCTTGAGCTCCTGACCTCAAGTGATCTGCCCACCTCGGCCTCCCGAAGTGCTAAGATTACAGGTGTAAACCACTGCACCTGGCCTGATATTGCAAATTTCTTGAACGACGCTTTTGAATTAAGTTGATTATAATTAAAAGGATAAGAAGAAAAAGTAACATAGAAGATAATAATTCCCTGTCGTGGGAATTGTGGTAATGATTTCTTATTCTTTACCTTCAGAGATGTAATTAAAGTACATCCTCTAAGGATATACCTGCATCACCTAGAGCTTAAAAAGCTATAAAAATGATCATTTTGTGTATTAGATCTCAGAGAATGAAGTAGATGTTAGATAGAAGTATTTAAAGAGGATGGGGCTTATAGTTACTGTTTTGGCTTCAGCAATGTTTGAATTGCTATGTTTACAAAAATCTTTCTTTCAGAGGATAAAAAGATTACATTTTGTAGTGGTTGTCAAAGGTATCTATTAGGAATAAATTAGTAATTCAAAATTTCAATTATAGTTCATTTTAATAAAGAAAATAAATCAGGCAATAAAAACTTTTACCTGATTGTCAGAAAGCCACAAAGCTGCAAGCTCTTTAAGTTTGGTAAATGAGAATGGTAAATTCTTCAATCTGCAAAAACACAAAAAGTCTAATAGCATGGGTAAAGACGGATAAAAGTTCATTTCTAAGAATTATTTAAAATACTCTGACTTGTTGGTTTCATTCTTTTCTTGAATCATTTTTCCATTGAGCTGCCTGAACAATATTAAAAAAAATGAAAACCTCCTATTTACAACTCTTCAAATACTTCTCATTGTATCTGAATAAAAATAAAATTGTTAACATGTATGGTTAGAGCTTAAAAGGCCTGGCCCCTAAAAACCCTCCAGAAGTTTCTCTGCAACTCTTTACCTGACTCAGTTCCGTCAGCACAACTGGGCTCTCTCAGCATGCTCTTTTCTCTGGAATACTCTCTCCCATACTTCACTTTACTGAATCTCACATATCCATTCATTCTTAGCTTAAATGGCATTTTCTCTTTTCTTGACTCCTCATTTAAATTACTTCCCTCAATCTGGTTTCAAAGCACCTTGTATTTTCCTTCATGGAACATATTGCAGTTTTTAGTTATACATTTATATTTGTGATTATTTGCTTACTCTTTGCTATCCCTTCAAAACTGTAGGCTCCATGAGAGCAAAGGGCCATGCTTGTTTTACTACTCAAAGAATGTATAGCTCCCAATATTATGTCGACCTTCAAGAAGTATGTTCTTTTGCCCTTCATGCAATGTGTAGTAGATATTCAAAGGGGTAATCTTAAAAAAAAAAAAAAAAAGCACTTCTGAGATGTATAGCTTGACATTAGCCTTGGTACTCAGTCAAAATTATATATTTAGCTTTGGCTTCAGCCTTTTGAGGGCCAAAGTACTTCACAGTATCTGATATCTTTGAAAATATGCATGATCATACAGCTTACCATCAAAGCTAGTTAGCAAAGGGGGTAGTACAAACAAGGCATGCCAATGAGACTTATTACTAACTTCTGAACACTCATTTTTGAATATGGATAAATATTTTAGATATAATATAGAATAAAAATGTTCTTGTCTTTAACATATTAGAATTCTATCAGCCAATTGAGAAATAAATTTATTTTGATAATGGAAGTGGGCAATCTTACAATAATTAAAAATTAACTTTAGAGTTAATTTTATGTGCAAAAGCATTTAAACACTTCTTAAAAATCTAATAAATACGAAAAGAGACTGAAAGGCAATACAAATCTTAAAACTGTATATTATACAGATAACCCTTAGAAAAAATATAATAATCTTTCTGAGCAAATGTTTATAAAATATAAACAATATAAAGAATAACATATATTAAATTATATCACAATTCTTTTTCATATAATTGTTATGCTAATATTTATAACTTTAAGCCAAATTACTTATAAAATCTATTTCTAAATAAAAGTTATTAAAATTCACTTAAGCCATAAATTATGAAGTAAGATCTTATTGGGAGAGTTTTTCACATCATATGGTATATATTAAAAGCAGAATATCAAGTCTGCAGCATTGAAATTACATGAGTGCAGAACTATCCACAATCATGTAAACAACATCCATGATATCATCATCAATCCAGTCATATGTGTAGCATATGAAGAAACTGCTGGAAAAGGACAAGGTACCTTTGTTTTTCTTTGCTCTTCTAGTGACCTCTATTGCAAGTAAGCCCCTATTTGGTAACATAAATGTGCAGTACATTGACCATAGGAGCAATCTTGCAGCTGACAAGGCAGAGGAATCATTGTTCCTAACTATAACGTCAAACTTTAAAAATCTATCATATTTTAAATATAAAATTATAATAATCATTACTTTCAGATGACATTTCTTATTTAACATTTTTCCAAACACTTCCTTCTCTGGTGGTAATATTTAACTTTGGCTTTAACTTTAGCTGAATATTGATTTTTACTTCTGGTTGATTCACTGATTGATTCATTAAAAACATTAATTTGGCTCCATAGTGCATTCCAGCAACTGCACTAGGACATAAGATTATATTTCTGTACTGATGAAATTATTTTAAACTTCTGATATTGTGAGCTCCTCCATGTATTATTCATAAATTTTGCCCTAGCATCTAGCAGTGTGTCTGGCTCACTGTAGGTGAACTCAAGTCTGCTACAGTTGTTGAATAAGTATCTTCAAAGTATTAATAGAACTTCTAATTATGGATCATTGATAATATTTGCTAAGTATATTTTGCATATTATGAGTGAAAAGAGATTGAAAGGCAATGAAAATCTTAAAACTGTGCATCATATAGATAACCTTTAGAAAAAATATAACAACCTCTCTGAGCTAATGTTTATAAAATATAAACAAGAATATAAAGAATAACTGATATTAAATTATTTTCATTCATACCAATAATTTACTAATCTTATTTTTAAGAATATAATTAGAGATTTAAAAAGATGTCTTGCCAAAAGTAAAAAATAACATTCAATGCATTTTCCTCATTTTCCAGGCTGGTAATACAGTCAGAAGAGAAAGCAAGGTTGGTTTGACATTACTTACTCTTGATGCATAAAGCTTTGGTGCTTCCTTGTCACCTGATATTATCAATAACATTCCAAACTTTTTAATAAAATGTTTTATTCTCTTATATGGGAATATTATTTACTAATAAGTGAAGTTTTGAAATTCACATTTTTTTCCTTAAAGTAAGAAGCAAATGAGAATTCCAATGCTTATCCCGAAACCTCCAGAATCTGATTATTCTTATGATTCCATAAAAGCTAGTCTTTGATCATTTCATTACAAGGTCTCTCAGTTCTTCATATTATCAATTGTCTGACTGAAACTTATTGAAAACATAGAGCTTATGCATTATATCCTGTGATCATTTTATTTCTTAGCAGTTATTTCTAGTCAATATTTGTTTTTATTCTTTCCTACTTGAGGATAATTATCTTTTATAGAGTAGGTGGAAACAAAGATGAATTGAGGTTTGTACTTTTTCTTTTTACTCATCTATCAATATAATGCCATTATTAGAAGTAAAGGACCTATCCTTTCCTTGATCATCCTGCTCTGAACATGACTAAAGAGCCACGTGGTTGTGAGTATTCTTACTAGCACTTTGATGGAATTGAAAATATACATATTGCCCAGTTAATTTGTTGGAGACCAAAATATATACATAAAAACATATGCGTGCATACCTACATACACATGCACGTTTTTATTAATATATTTTATATATTTTTATTATAGTTATTTTCTATGTCTTCATATTATTATGAGTTCTTCATATGGGAAGGCTTTTGTATATAAATTTGCATGATTTATATTTATATAATTTTAATACATATGCTTTTGATATAATCAAATAACAAAATTTAGAAATACTTGGTTTAAAAAAATTCACCTTCTGCTATTTTACAGAAAGTATCAATATTTGCATTCCATACACTTCAAAAGACAGAAAATGTTGTCAAAACTATAGGCATAAAAACTATAATTTGCTTTCTGCAAATAACTAATATGTGATTGTAAAATGTTGGAAAAATACCTGTTGTCACTCAAATTTAGGACTCTAAGTTTCTGCATCTGTCCAATCTCTTCAGGAAGAAATTCTAATTTGTTGGAGCGTAGAGACATGACTGTAACATTCTTACAACTTCCAATCTGTAGGTAACAAAAGAAAATAGGTAAAAAAAAAATCAGAGCATAATACTATTTTACATTAATTTTTCTAATTTTTAAAACTAAGCAATAGATTTTATTTTTAGCTTTCTTTTAATATGTGCAACATTTTATTTTTATAATGTAGCTCTTTAAAATATATGTATATTATATATATCATTTTAGCTATTAAGGCAATTTATATCAGATATTCTTTTACATATTAAAAATGAAGAATATTCTTTATAATTTTATGCTTAAAATACTTGCTAACATTATTGTTTTTATATATCATATATTTTTGTCTGTCAAAGTGAGTACTGATATATCTTTGTTTATAACAGAAGATCATATACACTAAAAAAATAAAATATTGTTGACATTTCCTAGGCAAAGTTAGTTTTGTTTCATATTACAGTGTTTTTTGTCACTTTTAATCACATATTTTGGCTCTAAAATAATTATATATTGATTCTTGTTGCATCATTATAAGAGTGTTTAGTAGAAAATGTTCAATTGAAAATGTATTTCACATACAGCAAACTTGAGCACAAGGTAAATTAAAAATTACTTTATACTTTTTTGATATTAGTAAATAAAATCTTACTTAGATGTAAAAATTAACAGAATCTCTTAGGGGATCCTGAAGTTAAAATAATATTATAATGCACCATGATACCTTCAAAAGCATATGTACATATAAAAAGTTTGCTAAAGAAATTAAAATGTAATTACTTTAAAATATTAGTTCTAACTATTCTTAAAAGCAAAAGATATAAATTAAGCAACTAAATGGTATTTCTGAACATGAATTAACTTATATTTTCTTACTTTTTTTATTTGTATGCAATGTTTAAGTCAAATGCATTTTCTGGGTCAAATATAAACACTTGTCATTTAAAATAGAATGATTAGCAAATATATGTGCAGAAAATTCCTATGTATAGTCACAGCTTGACTCATGAATCTACATTGCTATTCTGCCTGTTAAGATTTTACTCCAAAACAGATTCATTAAAAGTTAAGGAATAGAAAACAAGTTCATTTCTCACTTCTCTGGGTAATTCTGGAAGGAAATTCTCATCAACTGCTAATGTCCGAAGACTATGAAGGTAACCAATGGTAGAAGGTAGTGACTCCAGTTCATTACAGCTACAGTCAAATTCTTCTAATAAAGATAAACTGAAAAGTTAAATACAGTAGTTAGATACTTTAAAAGTTTAGATGGCAAAATGTTTTGAAAAAGCCACATATCCAAAATTTACCAAGACAAAGTTATTCATGTGGTGATAGCATAATACTATATAAATTTATCAGCTCAGTCAAATGATTTAATACCATCAAAGAAGTGGTTTAACTTGGTAAAATAAATATAGTTTATTTTTTCCCTTTCTAAATTTCCCTGTTATTTAACAGCCTTGAAAATGACAAAATAATGTTTTATTTGTTTACAACTTAGGTATTCTTTGTAGCCTGATGTTCAGAATGTGTATTCTTGGAACGAATGAATGTAACTGTCATGGGGTAAGTAGAAGGATGGAGAGGGCAGGTCCAGGGGTTGGGAGAAACAATAGAAACAAAAACACTGATGAAATTCTAGGTATTCACTAAGCATTTGAGAGATTAAAGAAAAAAAAAAAACAACCAAATCTCTTCCTCATAAAAACTCTTTAAGATGTCTAATATTTTAAAGGCCATTTTATAGATAAGAAAATTGAGGCTTAAACGTGCTAAGTAACTTAATCAAGGCCACACAAAATAACAACCCTAAGAATTAAACGCAGACAGTAAGCCTTTACTGCATTATCCTGTCTGTTAGCAGGTGCTATGGACAGGGCTCATTTCATCCTGCAGATGTGTTTTGTGTGACTTATATGGTGATATTTTAGAAAGTGTTTCATTATTTATTTAAAATTTTACATAATGATCCAGATTTTTGATGCCTTTTGAAAAGGAGAAAGATCTGTCAATAGTGGGTCTATATTCTTCCATGACAAGTAACAGAAATGGATTAATAGCTGCTGTCTTCAAATGGGCATAGCTCTTCAGTTAGCCTCCAGTTTGTCACAATCCCGACCAGTCCATGCTTAGCTGGCTTTACTGTAGATCTACAGAAAGGAATTGTATGGATACACATTGAAATTATCACAAGGAAACAAGACACTTCAATGCCTGGTTTGAGATAGCTGGGAAAAAAGTACTTGGCACAGAGTACGCAACAGATACACTGTACAGGTATTGATTGACTTACCACCTATGCAACTTACGACCATTCGACTTTACGACCACAATCGCTAGCCACGACTGCTCCGCGTCTGGCAGCGCAAACGTTGCCCAGCTGGGCGTACGACAGTGCAGACCAGCTTCTGGCAGCACTACCATCTCCGCGTGCACCATTTCAACTGTACATATAGCCTACTCAACTTACGACCAAATCGTGTTACGACCGGTCTGTGGTCCCGACCGTGATCGTAAGTCGAGCACTAGCTGTAGTTACTGTTGGTATTGTTGAAATTATTATTACACTGTTCTTACTATTCTATTCCTATTATATTGTTATTATTATAATAGGAAGAAACCCCCAGGGGTGAAGATTCCACCAATGTAAACGGAAAAATGAATTCAAGTTAGGTGGAGTAAGGCTGTAGAATTAGCATCCTTTTTTTTTTTTTTTTTTTTTTTTGAGATGGAGTCTTGCTCTGTCATCCAGGCTGGAGTGCAGTGGCACAATCTCAGCAATCTCAGCTCAATGAAATCTCCACTTCCTGGGGGTTCAAGAGATTCTGCTGTCTCAGCCTCCTGAGTAGCTGGGATTATAGGTACCTGCTACCACACCTGGCTAATTTTGCATTTTTAGTAGAGATGGGGTTTGCCATGTTGGCCACCTGGTCTCAAACTCCTCACCTCAAGAAATCCACCCTCTTCGGCCTCCCAAAGTGCTGAGATTACAGGTGTGAGCCACTGTGCCCAGACAGCATCCTTTTTATGTTAAAACTAGCTAGTTTGAACATAATTTGCTCCCATTATTTAGTTAGTAATTGAACACTGAAATTAAGTATACGTGTTGAAGTCACTTAGAATGGATTTGTGTCGCAGCTTTGTAACTTACTAACTTTATTATATTGGGTATCAATAAATTAAACACAGACCACCACAGCTCAAAAAACAAAGCAGATTTTATTTATCTGACAGGCAATGGAATACATCAGGGAAGAAGTTCACTGAGTAACACTCTGAAGGGAAAAAATCAGTGACGAAATGGGGACTGGTCATAGCGGGTCATGATGACTATACTCACTAAGGGTTGAAAACTTGTATTATGGAGAGGATGAGATGAGTGCACAAGTCTGTGTCCAGCTATACAAATCAAGTACCATTGTCCACCGGTCAGAAAAGAATTTAATGCAATTAGGACCAGTCTGACTCTGACCGTGGTCATTCAAACTTCATTATCTTAACAGATTCAGCTGGTTAGAACCAGTTGTGGTGAAACACAATATTCAGTTTTGCATAATAGCTCTTAGCAAAGTGTTGCTTAAGTAAAAAAAATTCCTTTTGTATGAACAAATCCTAGAAATTCTAAGCCCCAGATTCTTTATATTTACAATGAGGATACTAATAATGCGTGCCTCATGCAGTTGCTCTAAAATGAAATGTTAAGAACTTAGCACAGTACCTGTCATGAAATACATGTTCAGTGTACTTTTCCTCTTATTAACAGCATACCAGTTAAATTTGTTTCAACACGCTTTGAGGCCCCTTGTTTGCAGGGATGGTTATATTGCTGGGATGCCAGGTGTACACAACTCTGTTACTCTGTGCATGCATGTTTGCGAAGGCAGAAATCCATATATGTGAGAGATCCAGTAACAGAGTTTGTTTCTCATTTTTCTTCTTTTTTTTTAATAAAACATGTTTTGAAGTTAGTCTTGGTCGTAGCAAGGTGGTTGTCACCTTGCACAGTTCCAATGTATGCAAATTTCAGTTGTGATGTTTCATTAAACAACAGTAGTCTCCCAACAGCCTGGCTCAAATTTCAGTTACTTTGGTATTTTAACTGAGTAACTGCATAAAGTATCTCACCTTCTTCAGTCCACAAATCACAATGTGAATAACAGATGTACCTTGTGATCAGGGACTGATTACATCACTTCCTTCAAAGTCTGTCAATGACTGGTCATTGCCCATCTGTTGTTCAGCCCACACACAGACAGTAAAACATGTGTTGCCTTCCTGTCTCTTAGCAGTAGATAGATACTATAGACCAAATAATTTAACCATTAAAGCACCACAACTATTGGATAAAGCTCTTGGTCACCGCAATTCTCTTGCAGATTGAAATTAAAATCTGAAAATTTGCTTTATATCACCAAGGACAATGTCATTAATCCAGCCTATAGACCAAGGAATTATTTCAACTTTCAGTGTATTATCTTACACAGACTTTTGAATAGGCTATTCATGCTACAACTGGTGATCATGTAGTTTCTTTACCTGTGTTCTAGAAGAAGTATGACATGAAATATACAATTGAAAATATTCAAACATCATGGCAGGAAGTAACAGCAGGTAATATGTATACAGCACAGAATAAACTTTTAGCACTGTGATGGTTAATACTGACTGTGAACTTGATTGGTTTGAGGGATACAAAGTATTAATCCTGGGTGTGTCTATGGGGGAGTTGCCAAAAGAGATTAACATTTGAGTCAGTGGGCTAGGGAAGGCAGATCCACCCTTAATCTGGTGGACACCACCTAATCATTTTCCAGCAAATGTGAAGCAGGCAGAAAAACGTGAAAAGGCAAGATGGGCCTTGCCTCCCATCCTACATCTTTCTCCCATGCTGGATGCTTCCTGCTCGCAAACATTGGACTCCAAGTTCTTCAGTTTGGGACTAGGACTGGCTCTCCTTGCTCCTCAGCTAGCCAATGTGATCCTGTAAGTTAATACTTAATAAACTTGCAATATATGTATATTTCCCATTAGTTCTGTTCCCCTAAGAGAACCCTGACTAATAGAAGCACATTGTACAAATAAATTTGAATCTAGCATAAATGGAATCATAGAAGAAATAGCTGCCCATGGGAATGCTGACCCTGCTACTACTAGAAAGACTCTAGATGAGCTTCCGGAAGGCCTAGTGAAGGCAAACTTATATACATAAATGAGGAAAGTGTGATGAAAAGAATGAAGATGTCCCAGAGGAAGTGATGCTTGCAATAAACCTCACATTAAAGGAAATCTCAGAGATATTTCATGATACTGAAAGCACGAAAGATAAAATTTTGGAAGTAGATTTAAACTTAAAAAGGAACATGACAATTCACTAACGCACGGAAAAGATGCTCACTCTGTTTAACAGCATATCATGAAAAGAAGGCAAGCATTGTTCAAGCTAACTTTGATGTGTTTTTTAAATTAAAATAAGCTTTAATTCTCAGTGTTTCTAATGTTTAATATTACAGTGTACAAAATAACTGTTAGTCACTATTTTTTCATTTTCCTATACATTTGTAATCTACATTTACAGTATATAATGCTTGGATAAAAGGTTTTAAAGACCTTTTGTAAGAACAATCATAATTTTTCCCATTGATTATTAAAGACTGTTTTGCACAGTTTCAGATTGCATGGTCATTTTTATGATCCCCTTGATACTATGATTTATAATAAATACATATTTGACCTTCATCCGGTTCTTGACATAGAACTCTTAAAACCCTTGGAACTGCCAAAGTGATAAGTGCCTTTTAGTATGCAAATGAAATAACTTATGGCTAAGGGCTCTGGGATAGCCTCAGGATGGGGGCTGATTGCCAAAGGACCCACCCTGTAATTAGAGGGTTGGAACTTTCAGTCTCACCCTCTGACATCTGGGGAAGGGAGAGAGGCTGAAGGTTGAGTTGATCAGCAACGGTCAATGATGTAATCCATTAGGCCAATATAATGAAGACTCCATGAAAACTCGGAAGGTCAAAGCGTGGAGAGCTTCCATGTTGCCAAACACATGAAAGTGCTGGGCAGATGGCACAACCAGCAAGGACATGGAAGTTCTGCACCCTTCTCACACACCTTTCCTTTTGTATCTGTTCTTGTGGCTGCTCTTCTGTATCCTTTGTAATATCCTTTATAATAAACTGGTTAATGTGTTTTCCTGATTTCTGTGAGCCATTCTAGCA